TTTTTTTGATTTTTTGCTTGATTGTTTTTTTCTATACACCAACAAGAGTATTTATACTTCATTGAAAATAGGTATGAAAGGAATAATCAGTGAGAGATTTTGGATTTTCTACATTATTAATTTGAGAACCAGTCATTTCTTCTATACCGTCGTTTTATTTATTTTCACAGTTGCAAGTGGAAATTTCCAAAGTAGCTGAAACCAGTATTCATTTAACTCTTTTTGAGGGCTTTAAACATAAAAGATAAGTTTTAATAATAATAAATTTAAATTGTTAATTCCTTCATCTCAAAGCTCTTAAGCCCTTAGAGATTTGCTAAATCAAAAAACCGTTATCTCTATCGATTTTGTATCGATTGCTTGGACACGGGGCAAGTTATCGAATAACAAACTCCAAATGTGCGGGCACTAGAAAGACGTTCAAACATTTCAAAACTATAGCTCTTATAGGTTCTGAGATCGACGCAGTATTACCGATGGATGAAGGGAGAGACGACTTATCATGCTGACCAAGAATGTATATACCTTATGGAGTCGAAAATGCTACCTACCACCAATTACATACAATTATTTGGTATATGTATCATAGAACTATTCAAATATCTTCATGAAATCACAGCCTAAAACAACCTTGCGTTTTTCATTTTAATAAAAATATGTTTGTTGTTTAATAAAAATTAAATTTGCGAATCTTTTTTAAGTATTGCACGTTTTCAGCTGTAGCGCGATTTGCATCTAATGCAACTACCAGGTAAATGGTGGAAACGCCTCAATTTTTCGATTTGGCGTTGCCAGACTTGTATTACTTGTTGAGCCTAAATAATCCATTTCAATATAAATATCCCAACTTTAACTTGATGGCATCTTTTCATCACACGGTCGGCAGTGTAGATTTTTTTTTTTTGAGGAACGACGAAAATATTGCGAAAGGTGTTTTTTAATAAGTTATTAATTGCAACGAAAAGACGGTTGGGTAAAGTATTCATTTTGTAGCTATTCTTTAAAACAACAAATGAGTTTCGCAAACACTTTGGCAACCTTAGTCGAACAAAGCGGCATGGGATACACACGACACAATTTATAGAGACGCTACCCAAGAGAACGTGCAGATCTTAAATTATATTCATATCATTCGCTAAATAACTCATATGTACGAAAAAGAAACGAAGTAATGCTTAAGAGAAATAATTAACTCAACACATTTGTTGTAATTGTAACAGAATCAACAAATCCAAGCAACCTTTGACTCCGGCTTTATTTTTGCCGGTGGCGCGAAAAGTACACACTGCGCGCGTGCGTTGCCCAAGCATCGATTTTTCCGCAATTGCAAGTAAAGCAGTCGCTGCGGCTTCCGCGACCACTCGATTGGATATTCCTGAAGCGCTGGACGTATTGTGTGTGAAAAATGGGTGCTTACTTGTCGCATCCGAAGACGGAAAAAGCTTCCACAGATGAATTCAATGATATGCTCGTCGTGGGTGCCAGTTCGATGCAGGGCTGGCGCAACAGTCAAGAGGTTAGTGCGTGAAATTTGTATATATGTTCTATCAGAGCTGTTTACTTGAGGTGTTATTGTTTCTTTAAGGATGCGCATAATTCAATATTGAATTTTGACACGAACACATCGTTTTTTGCGGTTTACGATGGACACGGCGGTGCTGAGGTGGCGCAATATTGTGCCGATAAACTGCCAGAGTTCCTTATGAGCCTCGACAGCTACAAGAGCGGCAAGTTGGAGCAAGCTCTCAAAGATGCGTTTCTGGGATTCGATAAAACATTGCTCGACCCAACAGTGGTCAATACATTAAAGATACTGGCTGGCGAACACAATATCGTCGATGAAGATGGTGAGGGGTACGACGAGGAGGACGACGACGAAGATCTGGCTGAACTGCATGAGGAGAGTAATTTGCCGCTCAACGAGGTTCTAGAGAAGTACAAAGGCCTGCCCCAAACGCATGACCTTTCATTGCTTAAGGCGGACTCTGCTGCCGGAAAGTCAATGCCAACGTTATTGCGTGGTCGTCGTGCTGCGGCTGTCGCTGCCGAAGCGGTCAATAAAGCTGTAATGGATCCAACAGCTAAGCCTGCAGGTTCCTCAACCTCGGCAGCAGCTGCAGCTGCGTTTCATGAAATAGACGGAGCTGGCCCAAGCAGTTCAAGAGTTGGCAAGCCGGAACCAGAAGATGAGTCCACAGTTAGCAGCAGCAGTTCAAGTGCTAGCAAAACCAACAATTCACCTAGCACAAGTAATACTCCTAAGGATGAATCCGTCATCAGCAAAGTTGCAGCAAGCAATAGCAGTGCCGTTGCACCTACTGAGCAGAATGGTAGTGTTACCTCTTCAGAGGCTAAAGCCGTGGTCAAAGTTGCAAATGAGACTCCCGCCGCATCAGAGGAAACTGCTGTGTCTGGATCCAGCGATATTGCAGATAAAAAAGCAAACGGAAGTGTGGACAATGCTTCTGCACCCGATAAACCAGAGCCCGCTGACATTTCATCAACTAGCAAGGAATCGGAAAAAGTTTTGAAAAAAGTCAATTCTGCACAAGACGAAGAGTCCACCGACGACGACGACGATTATGACGAGAACGCTTTGATAAAAGCCCAAGAAATTACTGCGGCTGATAGTTCTTCTGATGAGGAGATGGGAGAAGGTACTGACGGTCATGATGACGATGACGACGACGACGACGACGATGATGATGACGAGGACGACGACGACGAGGACGAGGTAAGATACACAATATGCACATAACTCGGGTTCCTTCAGCATATTTGGTTTTACATCTTTAGAATGAATTTGATTAATAAATGGATTTTCTTATGTATTGGATGTTATATAAACTATTTTCAGGATGACAATGTTAGTGAAGATGACGCCGATGAAGACCAGCTAGCAAATGATCATTTCTGCGCCAACATGATTGAAGAACCTGGTAAAGATAGTGGATGTACAGCGGTTGTCTGCTTGTTGCACGGCCGTGACTTATATGTGGCGAATGCTGGAGATTCGCGGTGCGTTATTTCACGCAACGGAAAGGCTATTGAGATGAGCCTAGATCACAAGCCCGAGGATGACGAGGAATCTACACGCATTGTCAAGGCAGGTGGCCGCGTCACCCTTGATGGTCGCGTTAACGGTGGGCTAAATCTGTCCAGGGCTCTGGGAGATCATGCATACAAAACGAACTTGGAGCTGCCAGCTGAAGCACAAATGATTTCCGCGCTGCCGGACGTCAAGAAACTTATCATTACTCCAGAAGATGAGTTTATGGTCCTGGCTTGCGATGGTATATGGAATTACATGTCCAGCGGGGAGGTAGTCGACTTTGTGCGGCTGCGTCTGAAAGATGAGAGCAAGAAATTATCGCAGATTTGTGAGGAGGTGAGCTAACTTTGTCGTACCTGTCTTAGGCCATAAACCAAATTTATATATATTTCGTTTTCAAATAATAATCAAATAGCTTTTTGACAACTGTTTGGCGCCAAATACAATGGGTGATGGCACTGGATGCGACAACATGACTGCTGTCATTGTGAAATTTGAGCAAAAACTACAAGAACTAACATCCACAATAAATCCAGCTGAGACGGAGAACGCGATCCTTGAAGCAGCTAAAGAAAAGAAACAATCCATCGACGCCAATGCGGAGCAAAGTGCTCTTAAACGTAGCGCTTCACCAGACGCAGGAGCTGATGAAGCTAGCCGGGCCGAGATTACCAGCAAATCAAAACGATTGAAGATTGAAGGTGACTTGCTGGAGCCAGAGGATGCAAATGCAAAGAATGCCACCGATGCCATTAGCTGCCCACCATCATCGGTTGGTGAACAGAAGGAAACTGCTGTCGTCGTATCATCAACATAAATTCTATTATTGGGCCTACACCACTATTTAAATGGGGGCTCTTAGAGCAAAGAAAAAGAAAACAATTTCCAAATTATTTAATGCAAGTGTATACATAACGAATATTCATTTGTACACATATATTTTACCTATTCATAAATATATTCTTTTTATTTTGTTCATTTCTAAAATCGTAAAATCATTAGCTCACGTTCAATTATCATTCAACTAAATCATCAAACTCCACACCTTATATATTCATATGCATGCATACAATTATAGACTTATTAGTTATTATTTTTCGATGCGTTCACCCAAAAAACTTTTTTATATATTTAAAATTAATGTATAATGTGACGAGTCAAAAAATAAAAACCAGTAAGAATGAGACTTCCTGCCTATAAACTAGCCGAAAATGGAAAATCTGAAATACACTTCGGTTATGTATATTAAAACTATAGCATTAAGCATTAACTTGAGCTTAAATTAAATTCAGATTAACTTAACATTTATTTTCCTCAGGTACAGTTATTTTCAATTGTCAGTATTTTTTGTTAAAAGTTGATTAGCCGGAATCAAGTTTGTTATTTAAATGTCTGTTTTTGGTGTTTCGAATTTGGTTAACCAATATTTGGATACGTCGGAAAATAGAAAAGCAGCATACCCATTCAGGGTTGTATTTGAATTTATGATTTTTTTGTTTAGAAACTTTCCGTCGGTTTTGATGGGAGATGCGAAAAAAATTAAGCAACTTTCTATGCCACCTCGGAAGAATAGAAAAGAGTATGCTAGGCTTACAAAAATGATTAGTTTGTGAAATTCACAAAAAGAAATTCAATATCTCTTGCGATGGGCATGACAATCAGCTGTTCGATTACAATGTAAATGCGCTTTGCAACTGCAGTTACGCTGTAATTTTTAGTAACAAAGAAGACGAAGAAATACGCAAAGAGATATTTAGTATTTTTTGTGAATGCAAGCGTTTTGGTCTAATTTAAGACTTTTCTTATATTTACATCAGTACATTCATACATTCATGGTATATGTGTATTAATCTATATATATACTATATATATGTGTGTGTACGTTTTGAAGATTGACTGCATCAAGAGTAAATCTAGCATTTTTTAATATTCTTGTTAAGAGATTTAAATATTCGCCAAAATTGATCCATTGGCGCTCGCGGCGAGCGTAAGCAACGCAAAAGAAAGCGTTTGCAGAGGCTCAAAAGAAAAGGGCGTGGACACAGTGAACGGAAGTATCGGCACGGTTGCAGTGGCTGGTGTCTCAAATACAACATCCAGCAACATTGAAGTCGACGATCTGGGTCGCGCTTTTAATGGCAAAGTCCATTTGACTCAGGCAGCCAGCAACCAGCTTGTACTCCATGCCAAAGAACCCGAAACTATGTCCGGCGACCAGAAAGTGCTATTGAAGGGACACGCATCACAGTACGTTAAACTAAATGTGGGTGGCCGTTTGTATTATACGACGATCGGTACTCTAACAAAACATAATGATACCATGCTCAGTGCCATGTTCAGTGGGCGCATGGAGGTGCTTACAGACTCTGAAGGTTTGTGTCCATACCCATTATAGTTGCTTACTTGTATATGCATATGTTTCAATTTGGTTAACAGGTTGGATTTTGATCGATCGTTGTGGCAATCATTTTGGCATAATATTAAACTTTTTACGTGATGGCAGTGTGCCGCTGCCGGAGACAAACAAGGAGATTGCAGAGCTACTTGCAGAAGCGAAATACTACTGCATCACTGAGCTTGCAATGTCCTGTGAGCGGGCATTATATACGCACCAGGAACCGAAGCCCATCTGCCGTATACCGTTGATAACGTCGCAAAAGGAGGAACAGTTGCTGATCAGTTCATCCTCGAAGCCGGCCGTCATATTGGTGGTACAGCGACAGAACAACAAATACTCGTACACAAGCACATCTGATGATAATTTGCTCAAGAATATCGAACTGTTTGACAAGCTGTCATTACGCTTTAACGAGCGAATACTCTTCATTAAGGACGTAATTGGGCCAAGTGAAATTTGCTGCTGGTCATTTTATGGGCACGGCAAAAAAGTAGCCGAGGTCTGCTGTACATCTATTGTCTATGCGACAGATCGCAAGCACACTAAAGTCGAGTTCCCAGAAGCACGCATCTACGAGGAGACTCTTCAGGTTCTACTCTATGAGAATCGCAATGCGCCGGACCAGGAGCTGTTGCAAGCCACATCTTCGGTGCGTGCAGGCGGCGTCAGCGGCGCCAGTATGCATCAGTATACGAGCGACGAGGAAGAGGAGCGCACGGGCCTCGCTCGATTGCGCTCAAACAAGCGGAACAACCCCACTTGACTTATACCTAAGTTGGAAATTCCTCAGATTAGATGGCAAAACTGCGGTGCTTGCAGCCATTGTTGGTTCGCCTCCTGATCTTTGGCGCGAGTATCGCAGCTGCGATTTTGGAACATATTCGTTTATATGCTTACCAAAAATCAAGCCAACAAATTTAATTTTTGTGTATGTATTAAAACTGTGAACACCGTGAGATTAATTGCAATTATATTCCATCTGTCACTGACACACCAGATCCCATGTCTAGCGCAAAGTATTAGGTCTCATATTTGATGCGTATTTAAATATATGCAATCTCGGAAAACAAACGTATACCTACATATTATATATATATATAAAGGAAATGAGTAGAAATCAGACCAATAAAAATGGTTCGGTTAATTAACCATAAAAAGTTCTTAATATATTATTTATAGCGATGATTTTATTAGAATGTCATGTAGAGTTTATGTGTGATAGATAGCAAGGAGCTAGCGTTTAGCCAAGTTAGAGGGTAGGCATTGGTTGCCATGGCAACATTGATTTTAATAAAAGACAAACTAAGTAGAATTCAATCGGAATAATTGTAAAATGGAGGAACTTCACAAAGCAGGGCTTTATATGGACGAAATCTACAGGCTCCGAGTTCAGGATCCAACGATTTCCAACCAGACAATTGAGCTGCGACAGGAGTGCTTGGAATATTCAAGAAACTTGCAAGTTTTTAAGAAGTTCGGTGAGGACTTCTACAAAATATCGTTCAATTTCGCTAAAGATGTCGAGAATGAAAAACTGCGGGCCATTGGCACACAGAACCAGCTCAAGACAATGGCCAAACAGCGTCAGACGGAGCAGCAAGTTTATCAAAGCCAGATTCTAGAGCAGACAGTGGAACTCGAGCGTGTGAAAAGCGAGTATCAATATTTGCAGCGCATTGAGTCCGAACAGCAAGAGATAATCAACAATTTCCTAATGAACCAATAAAATACCATTATTTTTATTTAATTGGCTGACCCTACGATTTTTAAATAACAGCAAGATTCTTTCGATAACATGCTAAACTACACAACGGAATATTCGTTTTGGAACAACTGTAGACTTTGCGGTTGGTGCAGCCTGGGATACCACATAGCTGACGTGGCGGCGGTTTGATTGCGGATTGTGCTTGTATTGGAAACTCTTGTCCTGGTGGCACTATTATGTAAACACCATCCAAAGAATTTATGTACGTAAGCGATGGACGTGTGAGTTTTTGATTTTGTTTATTACGTGCTGCTGCTGAGCGTTGTTTGCCACTTTCTTGCTTCTTTAGCAGGCGCTCCATCGTCTTTTGTTTGTCTTTTTCTCTACGTTCGTCTGCTTGTTGTTTGCGCTTTTGCGATTTCAGCGCAGCCTTTTGAATCTCCTCGGCCGTCTGAGGTTTTTCCTTCTCCCTATACCCACTTGGAAGTGCGATAAGCTCTTCCACAAATCCCGCCAATGCAGGCTCGGCATCCTGCGTCCGTTCATACATCGCTCGTTGGCGTGCTGTCATTAGTTTGGGATCCTTTATCTTTTTCAACTCGTCATCGACATCTTCAAGTTTGCCAGTTTCGATGGCATTTAACCATCGCTCCTCATCGCTTGAAGTATCAGAGTTACGACGTTTTCTAGACTTCTTCGTGGAAGTGCTTGGTGGCGTTGATATCCCCGGCAAAGATTTTGTACTGGACGCAGGTCGTGTCCGTTCATTAGTCTTGTTATTATACACCGATGGGGTTGTCAATGTAGGTTTTACTGGTGTTGGTGCAGCTGGCTGCGTTGTTGCCATTTCAACTGGCTCTGGAACACAGATTGCCTGTGTCTGTGATGGCGGGGACTCTGTAGGCGAGGCAAACCTTGCCGGTTTTTGACGTTTACTCCGCTTTGAGCGTCGATCTTAAATGATTATAGAATTCACAATTAAAGATGATTCTATTAGTGTTACACGAGACGTACATACCTTCTGACTTTCCCATATTTTTATATTTATTTTCTTATTAAGTTACTCTCTGCCGTCTAATTCGAGAGGATTATTGCGCCGTCCTGCGAGGAAAGGTAAACGCCAACTTTGATGGATAATAATATTTTAATATTATTTTAATATATTCTCTTTAAATTAGCGATGTTGGAGATGGGGAAAACTAGAGCTGGAAAACTATCGATAGGTCCGTCGATTACACCGATATTTTTAAAGTATTGAGAACCATCGATGATTTTTTGCGAACCATCGATGTTTTATTTAAATTATTTTTAATTTGGCAGTTACCTATTTGGAAATATTATTGTAAGAAACGTGACCGCTTGCTTTTTAGTTGAATTTGGGTCAAAATTTAAAATTATTTAATGCCAATCGGTAGCCATGATCGGTATGAGTCCAAAAAAATATATCATTTAAATACTGGACATTATTTTTTCGTTTTTTTTGTCAACAACTTTATTTTAACCCTTCCATTTTTAATTTGTTTGAATGCCAATTGTTATTATAAATTCTGTACCTTCTTGGACTTCACGTCTAAGTTATATTTTACATCGATATATTAAAATGTGTTAGAATTCCGTTGAATAAAGAACCAAATGTTTGAAAAGTCAGGATGCACAGTTTTATATATATCTGAGTTTAATAGTTACAAGTTCTTACAATCCGTTGTTTTGATCTCAATGTCCCTACAAATTATATTTAGTAGCTCCATGAACAGTTCTAATTGAGAAGTGTTGTTGTTGTTAAGCTATCTCACTTTTAGACAGATGAATAAAAATTATATTTAATTACACATTTATTTTTAATGATTATAAAAAGCGCTTCATCACAAAGGTAGAATTTTGTTAATGTCTATACGATAAATAACTGATCTTAAAGATATAACGCACTTAGTTGCTAATTATGGGACTGTATAATGTCTAGCTACCATAAGGTGCTGGGAGTTATGGGTGGTTGGTGGTTACCACAGCGCGGAAAGTTCGGGGGAACAGGCGGCAGATCCTTGGGAGTGCCAATTTGAAATATCAAATTCATGCCAATTACGATGTGGTATTGGAAATGACAATGAAACAGCCAGAACCCCGGATTGTCTGCTCGAAATCGTAAAACCGCGTAGCCATTATTTGGCACGGCTACCGTGTCCTTTAGCGCCGGCTTAATATACTGTCGCTCCAGCATACCGCGTTGATCTAGGTCCAGTGCATGTTTCAGATTCATCCGTTTAATATTCGTGTCCGGCGAGCGTCCCAAGCCAAGTACATAAAAGGAAGTGCCGTGCAGATGGAAAGGATGACTTATGTTGATCTGTTGCACTTCGTCCACCAATACAACCTCAACGATTGCATTCAATGGTATGTCTATCTTGTGAGTGCACTGACAGTTTTCGCCACAGTCTGCGGGTCTATTGTCCCCATTGCAGTAGTAATCCTCCGGAATGTCATTGTACTGAGACAGCATTGGCGAAGGCGGCGATACGTACGAGACCTCATCGATGAGCGAAATTAGGTGGTCCGCATCAGAAGCGACTATAGAACGAAAGGATTAGTGCATTTGACTATGACACTCGGTTAGCTTAAGCCGCAGATGCGAGCCCCTGATGCGAGCTGGCCTTGGAACAGTTGTGTTGCATCGTATTTTGTGTGGTTAAGATTAGAAGTTCGTTCTATTAAATATATAACATATATGTGGATATATGTGGACGAAAGTGAACACATGCGCATAATGCAAACATAAACGTAAATAACATATATATAGTACATACACATTAACAATAATATAATTAATATAATAATAAACATAATATAAACACAAACATATACCTAGTTTGCCCCGTGACGGGCGATATCACCCTTCCAATCTTGCTATTGCACATTACAACATGATTTAGCCTACGGACAAGCAAGTGGTTAATAAATTAATTAAATCGTTATTGTGGTGGAGCATAGCACATGATTAACGAGAGGGGCCACTAACTGATGTTGGTGGTTAATACCAGGTTACGGGCGGTACGTGATCACCGCAACGGGGAAAGCGCGGCGGCACGGGTGGTAGGTCGGCTTGTGTGCCGATGTGAAAGACCAAATTCATGCCGATGACAATGTGAAACAGAAAGTGACAGTGGAACAGCCAGTAGCCAGGATTGTCGGCCCGAAATCGCATCACCACATATCCGTTATTGGGCACAGCGATTGTATCCTTGAGCGGTGGCTTCGAGAAGTCGCGTTCAAGCATTCCCATGCGATCCAGCTCCAAGGCATGCTTAAGATTAATTTTCTTAATTGATTTGTCCGGCGACCGGCCCAGCCCCACCACGTAAAAGGCAGTACCATGCAAATGGAACGGATGACTCAGGTTCACCTGCTGCACTTCATCCACCAGCACAACCTCAACAATCGCTCCCAGAGGTATGTCGACCATGTGCGTGCACTCGCAGTTGGGTCCACAGTTGGGCGGTCGATTATCGCCGTTGCAAAAGTACTCGGGCGGTATATCCTCGATTTGTGACAGTGGCGGAGCCGGTGGCGATATGTAGGATATTTCGTCGACGAGAGAGGTTAGGTGGTCACCGCTAGGCACAACTAAACATGTGTGTGTTGGTAGCGATCAGTTTGTTGAGTTGACCCAATGAGGCATAGTTAAGTTTAGTAGTACATGAGCATAAGTATACAAAAAGGTTGTTTGGTTGTTAGTTTGGGCAAAGCAAATGAGTTGGGTTACTGCCACTCTGGTTAATGGTTACGTACCCAAAAATCTGTTGTAGGTATTGGGTATAAAGAGAGTTTTCGGCTCGTAAACATAAAATCTGAAAGGCAAAAAGATTTTCACATCGGGCCTCTCAACCAAAACGCTTTTATCCACTTTTTTCGCGTTCTTTAAATTCGAAACGCAAATTGCATCGGGACGCTTGCGATCACAAATGGCATCCAGCGGGTTGAGTATCTGCGAACAATTTTAAATTATACAAAAAAAAATAAGTATTAGCTAAGCATTTTATTATTCTATCAGCTTGTGCACGCAATTGCTGTGATTTAAAGAAAGTTTAAGAACAGATCTGAAAAAAATAGTTGATTTGCGTTGTTTATTGTGTTGATATACATACATACAATGGATACATCTAAGGCAATACAAAAGACTGTATTGAAACAAGAGTGCTCTAGTCGACTGTCCCGACTAGCAGATACCCTGTATCCAGCTATGGATCATTCATGCTTGTATGCATTTATTGAGGGCCTTATATTGCTAACTTCAATATACAAACGATTTTTTATAGGAATCGTGTGTACCAACACCAAGGACCCCTACATACAAAATTGATGTAGGCATACGAGAATTTATTCATATTCCGGAT